AGACAAAGCTTAGCCATCCTGGCCTCCAAGGAGCACTCTGGGTGCACTTCTTCCAAAACAGATCTATTGTTTTTTTTGGCAGTCCATGGCACTTTTAGTATTCTCCTCCAACACCACAACTCAAAGGCATCAATTCTTCTACTATCTTCCTTATTCAATGGGGAGGTGGGCAGTGCAAAATGGAAATTTGGGTTCCTGGTTCTAAAATCAAGAGGAAGAAAAAGTGCCGCTTAAGGCACTAAAAGGACAAATCTTTTGTCTCCATGCATGTGTCGACTCTAGATATTTCAGAAAGCGGAATCAGACAGTATTTTCCCTTTTGTGTTAACTTCTTTCACATTGCAAGGAGCCCTGGGGCATTGTAGGGTAAGCACTGGACTGCTAAACACAGTCTTTTTGTAATCCAATCTCAGTAGATATGCCCTCATACCTCTGGGGTATGCACGGTACTGGTCCTCAATAAGAAACACTTTCTCCAAGAGACAGAGCAAGATTTCCATGGGACTGTGAATCCCGGCTTTTCCCGGGGCACTTTGGGCAACTTGTGTACAGGGACCCATGGGCAAGAAGAGGAGTCGTTAACCCTAATCACCAGAAGGTTGGGCTGCTTTTCACTCTGGCCAGTTTGATTTTTCTCCTTCCTTTCATATGTGGTGACCCTCAATAAACCTCCTGCACCCCACACTCCACCTTAGTATCTGCATCTAAGAACCAAACCTCCAGTGCTGAAGGACATATTGACAAGATGCTATCACCTCTAACCTTGCACCCTGTGGATTGGCACAGAAAAGGACAAAAGAATTCATACACCAGGACAGCTAGCAATCCCATAACTATACACAAATGTGACTGGCAACCCCATAAGGGTATCCCACTAAGCGTAAACTCCAATGCAGGGCCCCCATAGCCAGGACCCCAAATTGCCCACAGCCTCCCCACTTCCATCAGTGTTAGGGAAGTATGAGGGAGAATGTTGGAGAAGAGACAATGTTCATACCAATATATCTGACTTTGTCTCTCTAGAGAGTCTGAACCAAAACCAAAACCATCAAGTCGATTCAAACCTGTAACGACCCTGTGAGACAGTCAAACTGCCCCCATAAGATTTCCTAGGGAGTCCTGGTGTGGCTCTGTAGGATAAGCACTGAACTTCTAAAGGAAAGGTTGGCAGTTCAAACTCACAAGTCGCTCCGCGGAAACCCTATGCAGATCGCTATGAGTCAGAACTGACTTCATGGCAGTTGACAACAACATTCTTTACGGAGGAGTCCTGGTGTAGCACTGTGGGATAAGCCTTGGACTGCTAACCATTAGGCGAGTGTTTCACACCTACCCACTGCTCCTGAGAAACCCTATACAGGATCACTATGAATTGGAACCAACTCGACGGAGCTTAACAACAACAGCAACAATCTTTATGGAAGTAGACAGCCACTTTTCCACAAAGCGGCTGGTGGATTTGAACTGACAGCCTTTTGGTTAGCAGTTGAGCGCTTTAACCACCAGGACTTCCTGCTTTTAAACAACTGATAGTGCAGACATCCATTTCCTTCTATCCGCCCAGTACTAACCATACAGAGTGTGCCGAGGCTTCTGGTGCAAGGAAACACAATTGCTCTGTCTTCCTCAAAGTTAGTTTATTCGCTTTTATAGAACACCATGTTGGGGACATAAACAATTCATTCAAAATCTCTTTCTTGAGAAAACATTTTCCTTACCTTTCAGGGCACTCTTATGATAAAGATTAGGCAATTGGCACCACAAGGAATCTTTGGGTATCAAAACAGTCAAGGACTAGGTGACTAACCAAAAGGATGGTGGTTCAGACCCACCTAGAGATAACCCGAAAGAGAGGTCTGGCAATCTGCTTCCAAAAGATCACAGCCTTGAAAGCCATAGCTCCATTCTACTCTGCACACATGGACCATCATGAGTTGAATTTCACACAATGGCAACCGACAACCGATAGCCACAGCAATTTGCACCACTAAACAGAGCCATCTCTTTTTGGTCTGTGGAGTCATGGTTGGGTTTCATGAAGACCTCTGTTTCCTCAGGCACACTGCATGGGCCTTTCTGTTCTGTGACAGAGGACCCATTTGGATGAAGTTCCTAAAACAAAGATCACGATGATCTTAGGCAAGCAGTGCTTTCCCACTCAGAAACCTGAACTGCCAGCTAGCTCCAAACACAATACCCTGGCCAAAATATCAAAGCAAATCTAGTCTCTTTTTTTATGGGGGACTACTGCATTCCTTGGAAACCCTCTACAGGGTCGCTATGGTCGGAACCGACTCGATGGACTGTAACAACAACTGTATTCCTAATGTGGTACTGTAGGATAAGCATTGGGCTGCTAACCAGAAGGTTAACAGTTCAATCCCACCAACTACTCCTTGGAAACACTACACAGGGTTGCTGAGTTGGAACTGACTTGAGGGCACTTAACAACACAACCATCACTGCACCTCAGAGGAGTAGGAATGTGTCTAGTGGCACCAACCTTTCATTTTAAAGGTTGCAAACTTGTAGCCAGGCCCCATCTGGCCCACACACGTTTTCTTTGGCTCAGAATTAATAGACTTTCTGAATGTTTTGAATTGGTTGCCAATGTTTAAAAATCAGTAAGTTTAAAATAAAAATCTGGCGTTCTGGGTTCCTTTGAAAAGGCCAGATGACCAAACAACATAATGTCTGTCTCCCCACGTGGAAGGCCATCAAGCTGAAGCAGAGTTGGGGGCACATCCTCCCTGGAGACCCCTCATACCTCTATCATCCCTACCCCATCAATGGCCTTGCCCAATTTTACTCTTATGCCCTGCCCACATCATACCTTGTCATTACTTATCTGGCCTCTCTTGACTAATTGCTTACCACCCTTGATTTAGGCCTGTGGATGCACATTGCCAAATTGTTTTTATAGAAAGAGAAGCTGGTCATTTTCAAGAGCAACTTGATAGCCCCTGATGACGACACTACTTCAGTTTGATTTATTGTAGTTAGCTGCCTTCGAGTTGGCCTCAGACTCCTGGTGACCCCACCCACAATAGAACCACATGACTAGCTGGGGTCTGGACTCTTGTGACCCACAGGGCTTCCATTGGCTGGTTTTTTGAACTAGATTGCCTGGTCTTTTTTCCTAGCTTGTCTTGTCTGGAAGTTTCTGCTGAAATCTGTTTATCATAGCAAAACACAAGCCTCCACTGACAAGTAAGTACATACACATGAGGAGCACTGACTGGGAATTGAATCTCAGTCTCTCACCTGCCAGGCAAAAACTCTACCACTGCACTATCACCACCTCCCAGTTCAGTCTTATGTTGCTGCTGTAAAGTGCTGTCAAGTTGGTTCCAACTCATAGTGATGCTATATAGTGTTTCCAAGGAGCAGCTGGTGACTTTGAACTGCCAATCTTGTGGTTCAAATCGACCTTGCGGTCCAGTGATTTGTCGCATAGCACCACACCAGGACTTCTCAGTCTGATGTAGTGGGCATTTATTAAATACTTGCTGTGTACCCAGGCTAGAAGCAGCTGGGCCAGCAGGAAGGAACTAAGATAGCGGTCTTATCAGTGAGTAGACAGCCTGGCAGTTGAACTCTGGGTGTGTGTGAATTTGCCAAGGGAGGATAAACAGTGTCCAAGAGTACCTAGAGAAAGGTCAGGTCCAATAAGGAGTGAACTTGCTCTATGTGGCTTCTTGTCAAAGTGATAGCATGTTCAGGGGAATGAGGAGAAAAAGGCAGACAGTGGGCAGTGAGGACACAGAGGCAGCTAGTATACACAACACCTCTGAGCTGTGGTTCCCAACTGGGGAGTGAGAGGTCGCAGCCAAGGGAGGAGGGGGGCGCTGGAGGGGGCGTCTAGAACTTTCCTTAGAGACATGGAGAAGGGGTGTTTACAGGTGAAGAGAAGGAGCTGGTGGGGAGGATCCATGGTCACAGACTGTACAATCCAGCTCAGAATTGGACGTGTCAAGAGTGAAGTCTGAATCGGAGGGGATGACATGGGGGCAGGCACACAAAATTTTGCAGGTGGGCTGAAATTGGGTGAAGG